TCTTCTCTCATCTATTCTCCTTTCCCTTGTGTACACAATATACTCTTCCCACCACTCTGGCCTTTAACGACTTCTCGTCTATTAAGTCACTATGGTCTAAAGATCGCAGTTGCTGGGTTTGACTCCCTTAGCCCCCTGCGATATATCCATTCATGGCAAGTTGGTCCCAAAGATGTCTTAGGTTTTGCACTTGCCCCTTCGGTTCACTGCAGTGTGTCTTCACCCTCTGAAAGGGCGTTCTAATATAGCCGAGTTTATGCCCTGTTAGGTGGTTCCTATGGAAGCTGAGCACCTTGGTGGCGTCAGTCGCATTTCTATTAACCGTGGTGCTGAGATCACCATTGGGTCTGCGCGTGACGAGAACATCCATTCAGGGTTTTAGTTCGGCAGTCTTTTCTTCCTTTCTGAATCGGATATCGAGGAATATGCCGCTAAGCAAGTATTGAATGTCTGCTTGCATGCTCCGTTCGATTATAGCGAAAGTGTCTTACACGTGTCGACACAAGAACACAGGTTCAGAGTGATCGAAGCCGACTCTTTCCAAATCCTGTAAGACCAATTCTTTGATGAGACTGGAAATTGGGGATCGCATCGGCGTCCTTATGGTCTGTTCATATGTTCTGCCATTAGAGGCAAAACTTTTCTTTAGCAGAAGACAAGGAGTTGCACGAGATATTCAATTTTTAGAGGACCCCTCGATTCGTTGCATTTCTTTTTGAGTCGTTTATGTAGGACTTTACGTCACAGGACGGTAATGATAGATGTAAATAGTGAAAAGACATCTAAAGGTAGCACTGTTTGATCTGGTTGAAACGTTCTGCCCAGGATAGCAGGTAGAAATTGGAAGGCCAAATCAGCCTGCTGGGGTGCTTTTCAAATGCGTTTATATGAACAGGTTTCTTTTGCAGGCTTTGTAGATTGCGCGGCTTTTCCTTAGACACATTGTAACTGAGAGGGACTTAAAGCGTTCACATATCTACCCTCTGATTAAGCTGAACTGATCCACATCCAAATATACTTCAGTCATGTCTGCATATCGGGTTTCGATAAAAGTCCCATTCTAAATGTCCAAACTTACTTTAACGTTCACAAACTCGCTCTTTCGGCACCATGCATTTCGTCAATAAATATAACGCGAACGAAGGAAGTAATAATATTGAAATGCAGTATTTATTTCTTCTGAAATAAGAGGACAGCGGTCGGCGGGTGAGGGTGTGCATTACTACAACAATATAGGTACTTCATAAACATTTCAACGGCAGTGGACATAGAAAAACTCTTGTAAGCTACAACCAATCTATTACAAAAGAAGACCTTTAGTGTGTCTAGTGTGGCTTATATTACACGTAGTTTGAATGGATTACGTCTTAAGTTCGTAGTTGTTGTTCACTCGAAGAAGTCGCCCGGTGAAAACCAGCAGCTCTGACCGCGAATTTTACGGAATGTTTGTAGCACATCACCACGTAGCTGCCTATTACTTAGCGAAAATGGGTCGACATAAATTAAACGTGTTTCATAGGGTGAAGAGTCCTGTCCGGTCACAACATTTGTTGCTTGCCTTTGAAAATTATCAAGGGCATTGAGATCTTTTGTGGTCGGGAGCTTTCGTGCATGCATAGCAAAATATAGTTTCGGCTGCACAAAGTTTCCAAAAACCTTAGCAAAGCCGTCCTTATCAAAGGCACACAAAGGCACACACAAGATATAGGATGGACATCGCAGACTTGGCTACTTTTTTGCAAAGCAGCAAGGTTTTAAGCGACGTCGAGATCCACAATCCCAAATATTTCTGCGTGGACACTTCATGCAGTTGGATGCCATTCAGGCTGTAACCCATGAAATTCTCAGTGCTGGGTCAGCCATCCTACAGGATACGGCACTTATTATCATTAAACGGCAAAAAACTAGTCTTTAGACCAAGTTTAAAGATGTTTCAAGTTCACCTATAAACGCTCTTCGTCAGCTGCATTTCTGCTAACGTTCCACATCTTAATATGATTGGCAAACATAGCGACATCAACATCCAGTTCACGGACGCAGTTGTCCACGTACATAATGAACATTATAGGACGAAGGACAGAGCCTTGGGGAACACCGCCCTCGACCGCAACCTCTGTCGATGGCTGGTCACCGAAACGGACAGTTTTAGATCAGCCAAGTACGAAGCTGCATATCCGCTTCAGGATATTTCCTCTAGCACCTATTTGGCTGAGTTTGTGCAGTAGGCGTTGATATATGACACTATCGAATGCCTTCTTGAAGTCAGTGCAGACTACGAGAAGCGAATTTTGTCCATTTACTGCTCGGGTCCAACGTTCCACACAATAGAGCATGTTCGCCATGGAGGACCTGCTATTGCCGAGTCCATGCAGCGCACCTGATAGTAGGTCGTGCTGCTCTTGGAAACACATCAGTTCTCTTTTAACTACGTTTTCCATAATTCTGCAACAGATCGAAGTTAGGCTGATTTGTCTATAGTTTTTTGCCAAAACGTTTCTGCCACCAATCGGCGGGCAAACAACCAGCCCCAAACGAGGTCTTGAAAAGCATGGAACGCGGTTTAGCTAGCTCCTCAGCAAGTTTTTTCCAAAATATTTCGCGGAGTATTATCGGGACCGGGTAGTTTGGCGTCACTTAGTGTCCAAAACTCCCGAAGAACCATTGCTTTGGCAAAATATGCATAAACAATCTTTGAACCAATGTCTAGGCCAGGGGTCGGCAACCTTTTTAACTCTGAGAGCCAAGAAAGCAAGTATTTGGAAATATATTTCAGAAAGAGCCATATAGTATATTTTAAAATGAAATTATATTAAATGCTAGCATAATAAGCCTCTGAATTTTTTTCTTTTAAATGCTTTTATTATAATACCTACTAGCAAAAAAGCCCGGCTTCGCCTTAAGGCCTCCCTGCCTAAACCCCCCCCTCAAGGACAGCAGGCGGTT